CAGCTGTATCTTCAAGAAGACCTGATTTTTTTTTTTTTTTTAAATGGAGATTTTTTTTAAAACCACAGCCTGGTTACTAGAGACCCTATTTCCATTTGGGTGATCATTGTTTCTTGCCCTTGTCATTGGACAGAGCTAGAAAACACACACACACATGCAAACGCACACACATAATATATTAATATGTGTACATACATATGTATATATCATATTGTATTATGTAAATACTTTATAATATAAATTATATAAAAATGCATTATATGTTGTATTATATAACTATGAAAGTATAAAATATTACTGAAATAAATATTTTTAGTATATAAACAAAATACTTATAAATTCATACCAATATTTCCAATTTTTATTTAGGTTTAGAGTAGTTTTATTTAACTGGATCTATATTATACGTTTCCTCTTTTCCTATACTTTTCCTGTAGTTCCCAAGGACACAGGGAGTAAAAGAATTAGAAAACACCATAAATATTAGTTTTCCCTCTTTCCACATACAATAGTGTGAGAATAACACCACTAATACTACAACTGCCAATTATGAAAAAACTGAAAATGGTTTATTATTTGTTTAACATATGCTAGCTTTGTACTCCCCCCCAGTTTTTAATGGTTGTACTGAATATATTATCAGATCACGTAGCCATTATATACTATAACCTCTCCCTTTTACTCCTCAATCTTAATTCTCTAAGTAGCTATATATTTACAGCTTTTCACCAGTCTCTAATCATCTTGGCTGTTTGAAGCTTGTTTTCTAGTGGATTCTTTATGAGATACTCATGAGGACAATAGTGACTGAATTTGCTTGTTGTCTGCCTCTTGTATATTTGAATGTCAGGTTTTCGAAATATAAAATCTTTGGCTCATATTTTTTTTCTTGAGTATTTTAAATCAGTTACTTAGTTTTCTTTTAACATAAAATGTTGTTGAAAAATCTACAAAATACAAAAGTCTTGATGACAGATGAATAATCCAATCTGTTCTATAAATCATGTGCTTTTTAAATTGTAGATTCCAAAAGAGTTTTTTTCTTTTCTTTAAGTTCAAGGGGTTTTTAAACTAGAATACTTATTTCTTGGGTTTGATTATTCTGGGTTTATATTTTCAGGCATATGTTGTACATTTTCAATATGTGGCTTCAAATATTTTTATTTTAGGAACTTATTCTTGAATTACATTCTTTAGAATTTGTTTTAGTGTTTATAAACATTGGTTTTCTTCTTCAGGTATTCCCATTATCTGTATGTTGGGTCTTCTTAGTCACTCTGATGTTTCTCCTTTTTCCCAAATCATTTTCATCTATTTCTTCATTTGTGTTCAGTGTTTAAGTTTTAATCCTTTTTCATCTTCTTTTTCCATTAAAGTATTATTATTGATTCTTGTTTTCTTTGAAGTAAGTCTTCCAAAATAATTTTTTCTTAATTTCTAATTATTTGTGGAGTGTTATCTCGGTCAATTCTAATTTTGATTTACATTACTTTCATATTGTATGACCTTATTAATGACTTTAGCTCATTTTGAAATACTGTGTTGTTAGAGCTTTGATCTCTTTTTGAGTAAATCCTTTTGGCATGATTTTATTGTTTATAGCTGTGCTGTCCAATATGGTGTCCATTAGCCTCACATGGCTAGTTAAATTTAAATTAATTAAAATTTAATAAAGTTAAAATTTGGTTTCTCAGGCTCACTGGTTAATAGCCACATGTGTCCGGAGCTATTATATTGGATGACACAGATAAAGAACATTTCCATCATTGGGAAAACTTCTATTGGACAGCCCTGGACTATAGAAATGTTACTCTACTTCCTATTATCTTTTCTTTTACAGTAACTAAGATACAGACCATAAAACTTTCTCGTTACTCATTTTTATGTCAATTAAGTTTTTTGGAAATATTAGAAGGAAGCTTAGTTTAGAAAGCTTTGCAGCTTTCCAGAACTTCACCTTTTCTGTTTGTTTGGTTTGCTTATCTTTCTGTAGTGTTAAGAAGCATGTCCCATTGATTTCTGAGATTTCTTGGCATTTTTTTTTCCCCCAGATCCACTTTTATCTGGACCATTTCCTTTCTTGGTCTTTTTTTGTCCCTATGCTACTTAATTTTGATTCCACTTTCAACAGTTCCTCCTCCGCATGAGACCTGTCCTGGGAGTGATGCCTGGCCAGTCAGTTTCAGGTGTGCACAGTGGCTGGACTGTTCTAGCTCTTTCTAGGTCTTTCCTTCGGTCCTTTGCACACACGTGCTACTGTATTCAGCAAAACTGTTCTAGCTCTTTCTAGGTCTTTCCTTAGGTCCTTTGCACACACGTGCTACTGTATTCAGCAAAACTGTCCCAGGGTCATCCACTGTTCTCAAATTGGCCCGCCATGATTTCCAGTAGGACTTACCGGCTATTTTAAGGTTCTCCTAGTCTCAGTCCCTAAATGCTTATTGTCTTCCTCTGCTTCTTCCGCCATTGATATTGGCAGCATGCACATCTTGTGGCTGCTGGTGTTTTTTTCCTCACTTGCTTGTATTTTGGGATTTGTGTCACCCGGATACCTTGCCATCTAGTCTTGTCGCCCGTGAGTTTTTGATTTGGCTGTCTAGTTGCTCTGCATGTTTTAATGGGAGAGTTAGGAATATCCTAAATCTCTGCTGCTACTGTCACTGCCACTTCCATTATGGACCAATTCCTTTGAAGAATAAATTATTTGAAAATCTTTATAAACTTCTCTGCTAGAAGGTCTAGCTCTTCTCAGCCATCTTGTTTAGTTTGAGCAAAGTACTAGGTTATCGTCATGATTTGCGTTGAAGTAAGTGTTGTTATATACCAGTCTTTGCACTGTTCTCCAGCCCATCTCTTCTGGGTGGGGCTCACAGTGGCTGACTTATAATTTCATTGGAAACCGTATTGGTTGTAAGATCTTTTCCTGCCCATATATGTGTACTGTGGATGCTTAGTACTTGTTGCTTAATTGGCTAGCTGCTGAGTTCTTGTATGTCCTCCTCATTGTTTAGAACTTTAAGGTAAATCTGAAACTTGTTTAAGTGAGACGTTTGGTTCTGATGCAAATTCAAGCTGTGTATATATACATACATGCACACACACACACATACATATATACACACATACACGGAATAACTCATACAATATGCCTATTTTTTTTTTTTTTTGAGACAAAGTCTCACTCTGTTGCCCAGGCTAGAGTGCCGTGGCGTCAGCCTCGCTCACAGCAACCTCAAACTCCTGGGCTCAAGCCATCCTCCTGCCTCAGCCTCCCGAGTAGCGGGGACTACAGGCATGCGCCACCATGCCCGGCTAATTTTCTCCATATGTGTTTTTAGTTGGCCAATTAATTTTTTTCTATTTTTAGTAGAGACGGGGGTCTCGCTCTTGCTCAGGCTGGTTTCGAACTCCTGACCTCGAGCGATCCTCCCGCCTCAGCCTCCCAGAGTGCTAGGATTACAGGCGTGAGCCACCGTGCCTTGCCTACAATATGCCTATTAACTTTGTAAAATTTCAGTTTTTTTATTGTTGTTGTTGAGAGGGAGTCTCACTCTGTTGCCCAGGCTAGAGTGAGTGCCATGGCATCAACCTCGCTCACAGCAACCTCCAACTCCTGGGCTCAAGCGATCCTCCTGCCTCAGCCTCACCTCCCGAGTAGCTGGGACTACAGGCATGCGCCACCATACCCGGCTCATTTTTTTCCTATATATATTAGTTGACCAATTAATTTCTTTCTATTTTTAGTAGAGACGGGGTCTCGCTCTTGCTCAGGCTGGTTTCAAACTCCTGACCTCGAGCGATCCTCCCGCCTCGGCCTCCCAGAGAGCTAGGATGACAGGCGTGAGCCACTGCGCCCGGCCTTAACATTTCAGTGTTGAAGCACATTTACAGATCCTCTAATAGGGTTTCTTGGCACTTAGCACTGTTGGCATTCGGGGCCAGGTCATTCTTTGTTGTGGGGCTGTCCTGTGTTTTGTAGGATGTTTAGCGGCATCCCTGCCCTCTACCCACTAGATGTCAGCAGCACCTCCCAGTTGTGATGACCAACAATATCTCCAGGCACTGCCAACAGTCTGAGATAGGAGTGGGGGTGGAATAGGGTTGACCCCTGTTGAGAACCTCTGGTCTCTCAGTTCTCTCACTTTATAGTTGAAGAGCAGGAGAGAGAGGAGCAGTCATTTACATAAGGTCACACTGCTGTGTCAAAACTATCTTTCTAAACTCTCCTGGAGAACTCATCACAAAACATGGGCCATTGTGCTTAATAATACTTTCCCATTTAGAACTGAAGGATAAAAAGGTTTTGGAAATCAGGGTAAATACTTTTTGCGTGGCCAAATTATTGTTTAGATGGTTTCCCCTGTGGATATTTATTGCAAGAAGAAAAGATGTCCACTGTGGGCTCTAGGAACGCAGACTAAAACACTCCACAGGCATGCCTTTGGACTTGGGGGGGAAATCGGAAAATAGTTGTTTAGATACTGGAATCCTGTGGGTTTGTTGATTGCTAATGAGAGAATTATTTTGAGATTGCTTTCTCTTTTGGAATTTTCTTTGGCAGAGTTGGCCAAGGAGAAGAAGAAAAATACTGATGAACTCTCACCATTGCTAAAGACTGTTGGGAAGGCAGCCAAACAGGCAGAGGAACGCGGGGAGGCAGGGAGGGGGGACCAGCATCATCTTAACTAGTGGGAAGAACCCTAAGTATAATTTGGTAATGCTTTTCTCCTTCACCGTCTGCTGGGGATTCATGACAATATGTCGTTTCAAATCCTGTAACAACATCTTTAAGACAATTGGCAGAAATGAGAAGGAGTTGGAGAATGAGAATAAAAGCATAGTGTATGTTAATAAGTTTAGTGTAGGTTTATTACTAAATATTTCTTAATGATAGCATCATTGACTCTTTTGGTGTTTTAGCAAATATGGCTGCTTTTGTTCTCACGTTTTTCTCAAAACTACACATTTTAGATATATTAGAAGAAGAACGTCGGGAAGACTTTTCTTAGTTTGCTGTAATCAAACTGGCCTATAATTTTGTATGTTTTTACAAATTATAAAATGGCATAAATGCATACAATATGTTTTTTTAGATTCAACAAAGGTTCCTGTTAATGCTGTTCATGGATGTCAGCCCGTGGCATCGTATCATAGGTAAAACCCCTTACAATGACTTCTTGCCATTACTTGAGAAATTAATCACTCTCCTCTTGGGAATCCAATATAAAAACTCCTTATACTGTGTTGTATTTCATTTAGTAGTACATGGAGTTTGAGTAACTCGGAGGAGAAAGGAAGTGGATGGGAAAAAAAACTTTTACTAAGCCCATAAATGTGTATATATATATGTTGCCTCTTACGACTTTTAACGCAACTCTAAGATCAGATATTCTTACCCCCATTTTTCAGATGAAGAGATGCTCTAATGTATAACAACATCCTGTAAGTGAAACTCTTATGCTTGCTTTACAGTTGACAAAGAACTTCAAAGATACTGATTGTGTATCAGGGTAGTAGAAGTATCTGGCTCCTGATTTAGTAGCCTTTTATTAATACATAGGCATAAATGCTTTACGGATTTAAAGCCCTTCAAAATTACATCATCTAAGAAAACTCCATATGAGAGAGAAAACTATAATGCATGGTAATAATGCATGGTAATAGATGTATATGTATGTGACAGATGGAATGTAAATATTTGTTGACTGAATTGATTAATTTATGAAGAGAAGATAAATAAGGCTCATCTCAAACAGTTGTCAGAATCGAATGAGATAGTGTAGCACAGAGCATACAGACTCTCCATAAATGCTCATTCCTTTTTCTTCCTTGTGGACCTTCTCCCTGAATAAGCTCCTGCTGTTTACATCTCCACCCCTGATACCCATTAGTGGTGGACATTTGCTCTGAGCTGCAATCTTCAGCAGCCACTTGTGGTTTGCCTGGGTTGGGCCACCTTCTTCTAAGGCAGAGCAATAATCAATAACTTCTGAGGAGGCTCCAATTCTTAAACCTTCTGTATGAAATATGGTTAGGAACTGTAATTCCAAGTACAGGATACAAAGCCCGAGACATTAGTTTGAATTGTTCGGGGGGTACTGAAAGACCCATCTTGGGAAAAAAGAGGGGGAGGGGATTAAAAATTAAAGATCCATCTGCCCCTTGGTGTGGCTCCTCTTCATTAATATTCATTCAACCTGCATCGATGCTCTGGGCCGAGAAACTAAGTCTTTCCAAGTGTCCGTGGCGAATTTTGTGTTCAGGTGTTCTTCTAGAGTTCCCACTGGGTGATAAAATCTAATTTTATTTCATTGAATTTGTTGTGCAGCTCTGTCCTGATGAATATATGACAGTGGGAGAAACAGAACAATCTTCTCCACTTTCCTTTACTGTCATTAATTTCAAGCCTAGTTCCCCAATGCATTTGGGAGAGAGAAGAATCTGAGATTTTTAATGCATGCAGTTAGGTGCATTTTAACAAACTTTAAACTTCAGAGATTAACGATGCCTTCCTCCTCTGCGGTATGCTAACTGCTACATGCATAATAATAAAGAATGGAGGGGAAGGAGAGAAACTTCCAGTACAGCAATTATGCTTGGGAAGGAGAATTTAGCTTTCATCAAGTTTACTGACAATCTTGAATCTTCTTATGGAAATGTGATTCATTTTTCTCAGCTGCCTACCGCACACATTTCAGGATATTAACAAAAAGGGTGGGCATATACGTTTTCTCCCCTGTACCCCCTGCCTTCCCTGGAAACCAGTTGAACATGAAATGACTGATGGTGACAAATTTGAAGGGAATGAGGTCAATGAGGGTTGATTTTTGTATGAACAGAATTTCTGTATTTGCATGTTTCTAAATGGAGAGTTATCCAGGTTTTCTGGTAAGTTTTAATGTTTTCTACGTGTAAAGGATAATCTCTTTGAGTAAGTGTTTTGGGAGTTATGAAGTACTACTCAAATGTTAGTATACATAAACAAAGATTGATTATTTTTAATACGACTTGAGTTTCTCCCAGGCCTGACATGAGTACCTATGGGATGACCTTTATTTTTTTATTTTTTTTGAGACAGAGTCTCACTCTGTTGCCCAGGCTAGAGTGAGTGCCGTGGCGTCAGCCTAGCTCACAGCAACCTCCAACTCCCGGGCTCAAGTGATCCTCCTGCCTCAGCCTCCCGAGTAGCTGGGACTACAGGCATGCGCCACCATGCCCGGCTCATTTTTTTAAATATATTTTTAGTTGGCCAATTAATTTCTTTCTATTTATAGTAGAGACGGGGTCTTGCTCTTGCTCAGGCTGGTTTCGAACTACTGACCTCAGGAAATCCACCCGCCTCAGCATCCCAGAGTGCCAGGATTACAGGCGTGAGCCACCACGCCCAGCCTGGAATGACCTTTATAGTAACAATGCAGAATTTATTGCTTCAGTTCACTAAAAATGCCAATGTCCTCTCACTTTGCATACACACATGAAAAACAGCAACAGAACATATGGAGTCACACCCAGAGGCTGTCTCTCGTGTGCTCAGACACGAGTTGGTCGAGGATGACCCTTAGGTGCCCATCGATGCGTTTGTGCTTTACCATATCTGTTCCCTTACTGGCTTTGAGGGGAAATCTCTAGGGTTGGGAAATACTTGATTTATCTCTGTTCCTCCACAGTCACCTACCATGCCATGTTTCCCCCAAAATGAGCCCTCCACATCAAACAAGCCCTAGCAGGATTTCTAAGCATGTGCGCAATAGAAGCCCTACCCCGAAAATCAGCCCTAGTGGTGGGCGTGGCTATGGAAATCAGCCATGGTAAAGGGCGTGGCTATAAAAATCAGCCCTGGTGATGGGCGTGGCTATGAAAATCAGCCCTAGTGACGGGCGTGGCTGCGCAGCGCATCTGCACAACCCATGCGTGTCGTCGCAGAGCGGGAAAGAACACGAGCAGCCCTTCTCATCCGCCCCGTGAGAGCCCTAGTGCTCCACAGGAGAGATCGGGGCCAATGATTCTAAAGAAACAGAGTAGCAAGACATTCAGGATGGGATTCAGGGTTTGGAGAGTGAGGATGATGTTCCAGAAGAAGATGACTTAACTATGTTTGAATAAATGTAGGTGGTTGTACTGTACTTAAAAAAAATAACACATCCTCTGAAAATAAGCCCTAGGGTGTCTTCTTGAGGAAAAATAAATAGAAGACCCTGTCTTATTTTCGAGGAAACACGATATTACCTGGCTCATCCTGGGTGACCATGGAGGATTGGGAAATTGACTTAGCAGATTCTGCTTTGGCGTCCAATACATTGGCTATTTCATCTGGAAGTGTTAGCAGCAGCCTGTCTATGCCTGAGTCTAATGCAAAGAGTCTTCCATAGAATATGTACCTGCTTGCAGGACAGGTATAGATGAATAAGTGCAATGTTCTTTCCAGCTTGGGAATGAATGAGCGGTAATGTTCTTTCCAGCTTCCGGAGACGTTCTATCGTTTTTGTTAACGTGGGCTTTGGATTCAGACAGACCCGGGTACGAATCCTGATTTTGTTGCCTGACAGTAATATTGCTCTGGGAAATTTGCCTAACTTTCAGTGCTTGCTTTGGAGGTACTGAATAAATGTATGTCGAATGAGTTAATACTCTCTTTGCCTCACTTTTATTTTCTCTAAAATGGAGAAAATAAATATGCAGTATACCTAATAGTACTGTTAAAGACCCCATCTGGAAAACTCAGGAAGGTAGAGAATTATTTTGGTGTCTTACAAACATGCTTTTGAATATTCACCTGTCATTTTTCTTGCCCTTTGTATCTACCTGTAATTTTCTGAATTATCTGTTTATATATATATATTTTTTTTTTTTTAATTTTTTTTAATGACAAGAGTCTCACTCTGTTGCCTGGGCTAGAGTGCCGTGGCATCAGCCTCGCTCACAGCAACCTCAAACTCCTGGGCTCAAGCGATCCTCCTGCCTCAGCCTCCCGAGTAGCTGGGACTACAGGCATGTGCCACCGCGCCCAGCTAATTTTTTCTATTTTTAGTTGTTTGGCTAATTTCTTTCTATTTATAGTAGAGATGGGGTCTTGCTCTTGCTCAGGCTGGTCTCGAACTCCTGAGCTCAAGCAGTCCTCCCACGTCGGCCTCCCAGAGTGTTAGGATTACAGGCGTGAGCCACCGCGCCCGGCTATATATATTTTTTTAATTTCAGGGAAAGTTAGCACATGATATTACTTTGCATTTCGATGGGTCACTATGACTTCACGACATATTGTTTAATTTTACCGTCCCAGCAACCGTCTTATGTGATCGAGGTTATCATGCACGTATTACAGACCAGAAACCTGAGCCTCAGAAACAATCTGATCGACCTAAAGTCGAGGCAGTCCCCAAAGTCTTACTAGACCCTAGATTTTTCTGACTTAAAATCTGGTGGGCTTTGCCCACTGCCTTGTTTTCTCAGTGATCAGGATTTCTGAATCGAACTGAATATTTTATCTCTGCACGAAAGTCCTCTTTGATGATACTGAAAGGGAAGGAGACTGGGGTCCCAGCTTACTGTGTGGCTTTAACGCTAATGCGTCTATGTTACTAATTTCGTGCAAGTTTGTTTGTGGGTGAAATGAGAACGAGGAGAAACAGGGAAATAGCGCGTGAAGTCTGACGGCTGCGTTTGCGTTTGCAGCTTGCTCACACGTACACAGGGCTGCAGGGTCACCCTGGACGCCGGTGTCCCTGGCCTCGTGCCCGGTAGATGGGTTAGGTCTTAAGACCACAGCAGCCTCTTCTGTGGCATTTGGGGACTTGCCTAGGGCATGAGAAAAGCTTGGAAGAAACACAACATTCTGACTCACACGAGGACTCTTCACCTTACAGCATATCTTCTCCCTCTTTTTTCTTTTTTTTTTTTAATATTAGACATGCTCATGCCTGAGAGACTCAAGCCATTTAGCTCTGGCGGGGCTGGCTGGAAGCATGGTACTGACAGTTTCAAGAAGTAGAATGGAATATTGGTGACAAGGGTGGCTTCTGGAGCTAATTGAGCACCTACTTACTCTATGCTCGGTACTCAGGATATAGCAGTGGGGAAAAAAGTCCCTGCTCTCCCAGAGCTTACGTTTTAGGGGGAAGAGACTGAAATAAATAAGAAGCAAAATAAATAAGCAAATG